AAATTTCTTTATTTTGATAAAAATCACACAGTGTAGTGTTATATACAGGAATATTTACTCTGATGCGACCACTTTCCAAGCACAATTCATCGCCGTTCATCGTCGTCATATCAAGGCAGTACTCACACACAACTTTCTTCCTTCATTTATATACATGAGTAGAAATTGATGATTAGATATTTGAATAAAAAATCAATATGGGATAATGTACATTCAGAAATAATAATAATAATATGAGTGTTATTCACCAAATACAATCAGATGGGAAATAAGACGAGTATTTTTATAGTCAAAATAAATAAGTAACTTGTTAGAATGTTCTGATGTGCTTGAATTGAAATAGAATTTTGAGATTATTTATTATCCTCCTCTGATTTGACTGACTGACTGGTGGTAATATTATCTTCCATATTTCTGGTATTTGCATTGAGTCAATTCTATTGCATGTGTTAGGTGTGTAGACTCGATGAACCAGGCAGGATTCAGTAATCAGCCTCTCTCTATCTCCACCTACCTAGATTACATTTTAGAATTTTGACTGTGTCCCTCTCTCTCTCGCCCTAGTATTTGGTAGTGTGTTAATGTATGCAGTGCAATTGCTGGGTGGCACAGTGGTTAGGACTCTCACCGACCATGCACATGGTCCGAGGTTCGATCCCTTGCCACGGACGCACACCTGATATCTATAGTCGGCCTGCAAAATTCGGGCTACCGATATCCATGCTGAAAATTCCATACTTCTACCAAAAATACAGTGTGGAATCAAGCTGTAATCAAAAATAAAAAATAAATAAATAAATTTCTTCTCAGTTACTTATCTTTTTGGGATCAATAATTCTACGTTTTCAAGTGTTGGTTTGTAGGAATTTGGCTGATTGGTTACATGATTTCATCATGAGCTGACATTAGTTAGAGAACCGTGGGAAAACCTAGAATTACTGGACACCTGTTTCGTCAGCCTAGTTTGGGACTCTTCAACAGTACGCACCCAACCCGTTGGAGTTCGAACCCAGGACCTTCTGGTTTCAAGGCCAGCTAGCTCGTAGACAAATTAGCTGCTGGGACCCGATCCAATCGTCCATGAATTTTAACTTCTGCCAATTCGCGACATAGCGCGACCACTAGCCCATGTCTTCAGCGAGTATTTGTCCTCACACCCAACCAGCTGCACCCTACTGGTCACGACTTCCCACTGGAACCCAGGTAACTACCTACCTGAATAGGGCAAGTCGCTAGTGAGAATCTCATTGATATTCAAGTCAGGTATTTTGTAAATTATATTATTTTATTTACAATAGAAGTGACTTAACATAAATACCAGAGATATGTATGGAAGATATTATTATCGCCAGTCAGTCAGTCAGTCAAATCAGAGGAGGATAATAAATAATCTTAAAATGTGTTTCAGTTCACGTTATAACATTCTAACAAGTTTAATTGAATTTTAGATTTTCCCGTCGATTGCTTTAATCGAAGTGCTCGGTCTCAGGTTGATATGTCTTTCGGCTTCTTGTGCAGATGCTTCGACGATGTCAGGGCGTTTAATTAGAATTTAACTTGTGGATGGTGACTAGCAATGGAACCCAGAATAACACGCATTTCTTCCTGTTTGGGACTCGTCATCTGGATGTACCTGCATTCCCCAGTGAGTGATGATGTTTACACCGAGCACTTTGGTCCAATCAATCGACGGGTAAACCTAAAATTAAATTAAATTAAATTAACATGGCCCGTTGCAGAAGAGATGGCTCTTGTGACCCAAGTGGTCTAGTGAATAATGCTTTGGCGTTTGAAACTATGAGCACTGGGTTCGAGCCTCGATTATAAAATCGTTTTATTTCTCATCTGACTGTATTTTATGGATAACACCAGTAATTTTGGATTTGAATGTACTTTATCTTATATCAATTTCATCCAAATGTCTAATCATCAATTTCTACTCATGTATATAAATGAAGGAAGAAAGTTGTATGTGAGTACTGCCTTGATATGATGACGATGAACAGGAATGAATTGTGCTTGGAACTTGGTCAGCGAAGTAAGTATTCCTGTATATAACACTGCACTGTGTGATTTTTATCAAAATAAAAAATTTTATCCATAATGGAATTGTACTCTACCACATCGTGACCAAGTTTTATCTTTACACCAGTCTGTTTCTCATTTCATTACTTTATCGCTTTACTAAATCTTATGGCATGAAAATATGACTTATAAAAAAAATTAAAGTAGACAGTAAGAATTATTGACAAATCCCTAGGATTCTTTAGCAGTACTCACTCACCGCCAGGATTTAAACTCAGGAATTTCTGGTTACAAGGCGAGCTAGTTCATGGACCAGTAACCCACTGCAACCGAATCCAATGGCCCGTGAAGGTTCTGGTTTCAAACTCCTAGCGGTGGGTGCGTACTGACTGATGAAGAGTCCTAAACTAGTCTGGAAAAAAACGGGCTGTTCAGTACTCCTTACAGGTTTTCTAATGGTTCTCTAACTATCATATATTTTGCTTTACACGTTCATCTTCTTCGCACAGAGCTGAAGCCATTACAATCCACCTGAAGAATAAGAAGAATCCAGACTCGTGTGTGTGTTTTCAGAAGAAATTCGTACAACCATTTTCCTTATCTTGGTCATCGTTACATGAATATTAATAAAAAAATGATGGGCGATCTGCCCCTCCTTCTCCTAAGCCTTTTACAAGTTGTCTTGCCGTCCTCTTACTTTTTTTAAAATTACAGATTATTTTATAAGATCCATGATCTGTGTCGACAGTTCAGCGATAGAATGCTCTCCAGCCATGCACGCCATTCGCTGTTCGAATCCTGGTCGTCCGATTCACACCTCTACCTCCCTTACCCGATTATGAAGCCGACAAAAAAAGGGAAGGTTGGGTGTGGGGCTAGCAAGCCCACCCTTTACAATATATAAACACCACTATTATTGAATCTCCAAAGCTCAGTATTCAAGTCCTGTGTTTCAGAACTGTGGCAAAGAACTAACAACCATGTACTTATCGACCAAATTAGGAAAATCGAGTGACGTATCTTCAACTTGTATGGGGTCCACCAGAAAAACATTTAATAACTGAAATGCCACTGAGACGAATTTAATTACTAATAATAGTGTAAAAAGAATTGATTTAAGAGTCGATAAGTTTGTCGGCTTGAGCCTTAAAGTCTAATGGAACAAAGTTTGAATCCCAGCCTTTACAAGAGTTAGGATCTGTGACATTTAGGTTACCATGCGAGTATGTAGATCATTCAGTTTTGAGAGTAATACCAAACAACCTATGAAATTTAGCTTTTTTCAGCTTACCTTGTGATGATATCACAAGATATTTGAAATCCTCCCAAAGTACCTGTCGTCAAGTGTGACATGATGAACCCAACCGTGTGTGACTGCTTATCTAAACCTCAGATAGTCTGTCAACAGCAACAGCGACAGACAACAATCAGCCAGCTTAAATGGGAGAAATCCAAAAGAACCGACCTGGGAATCATCGTTTCAACTACAGGCGGATGGGACTGATGAGGATATCAAAAGAGCAAGGATCGGAAAAGCAAGGCAAGCTTTCATTACTCTCATCAAGTCTGTGTGGAAGTCAACAGCACTCAGCATGAAAATGAAAATCAGAACCAGATTTTCAACTCTAATGTGAAGTCGGTGCTACTTACTATACACGGACCAGGAACTTGGCAATGTGCCTCGTCCCGAAGGGCACTTTGAACAAACTATAAACCTTCATCAACACTTGTCTTCGCTCAATACTACTCAAAATCAGGTGGCCGGTCAGAAAATATCAGCAACAGTGAGCGATCTCTAAGAGTGAACCAACCCATCAGGAACCGATTTTGCAACAGATATGCAGGAAGAAATGTTGGTGGATTGGGCATACAAGGATATCCACAAGGCTACATGGGTGTCACCAGATGGGCAAACCAAAAACCAAACTGATTTCATCTCAATTCTGCTCAAGGAAGTGGAGGCGCAGCCTACTAGACACAAAAGCAAGAAGAGAAGCAAACGTTGGCTCAGACCACTATCTCGTACAAGGGACAATCCAAATCAAATTAAAAGCTTTCAGGGAATCAGGAGCTGCAGATAGACCACAAGCCAAGTTCAACACTCAAAAGCTGAAGGACCAGGCTACAAAGGACATCTTCATTGCAAGCATAAAGGACAAAGCCGAGATACAAATCAACATTAACGAAGAGGTCAGCGTCGAAAAGCACTGGGACAACTTGAAAACGGTGTGGAGCCAAACCTGCATAGAAATTCTAGGCAGAAAAAAGAGACAGGACAAACAGTGGCTCACTACGGACACTTGGAAACTAATAGAGGAGAGAAGGACAGTGAAGCAAAAGATTATCCAGTGCACTGACGAGCAACAAAAACAGGAGCTGAATGCAAGCTACAGTACACTGAACAAAAGAGTGAAGAAAAGTGCCAGGGAAGACAAAAGAGAATATTATGAAACCATGGCAAGTGAAGCAGAACAAGCTGCAGACAAAGGGGCCTCACAACCCTCTTCCAAACAACTAGGTTCCTCTTGGGGAAAAGTTCAATTAAAATTAAGCCAGTGAAGGTAGACAATAAAAATTCAACCACCAAAGCGGTGGAGCAAATGATACACTAGGGGGGTCTCTGGGAGCGAACCAACTAGGAACCAGTTTTGCAACAAATATTCAGGAAGAAATGGAGGTGGATTGGTCATACTCTGAGAAAACAAACCATCAAGTGACATCCCTAGACAAGCCATTGCTCTAGTGGAACCCGAAAGGGAAGCGGCGAGTTGGTCGTCAGTGCAAGGGTGACTTGGAGGAGGTGGTCATGTGAAGAGGAGATTAGAGCATGTGGGTGGCAGACTTGGAGCGGAGTGAAAAAGTTGACAGAAAACAGAAGGCAATGGAGATGCTCAGCTGAAGCCCTATGTTCCTCTAGGAATTAAAGGATATAATAATAGTAATAATATTAAAAATTATCAGCTAGACTTACTTACCTTTAGTCAGAACATGCATTGCTGATTTTACTTGTGAAAAATTTCCAGATCCAACTGTATTCAGAATACGATAGAATCCAATACCCGATGATGATTTTGAATTCAATGTTTCATTATCACAATAGGCGGCAGTGCGTGATTTGTTTAATTTTGTCTGTCCACTAGATGTTTCAGACTTTCCAACAAATTGATAAGTTTGATGCTGATGATTACGACGGCTTTGATGATCAGTTGACTTCGTTGAGGATACTGTTGTTGCTGCCGGCGTTGTTGTTGTTGTTGGCGTCGATGAAGACGGCACTGCTGAGGACGACGCTTTCGCTTTCTGTTTATCCTTCGCGGCTTCATTCATTTCTATGGATTCTTCATCAAAATCTGTCCGCAGCACTTTGGTCTGACATTTTTCATTGTCAGTCGATTTAACCTTTTCAGTTTTCAAATCAAATTTTGATGTTGAAGTCGGTGAGGTAATCGATGATACAGACAGCGAAGATGCGGAAGATGATGATGGTGTTGATGACGATTCCTTCAATTTGTCTCTATTAATAATCGGTTCTGATGGATGATTAAAAACTTGTGGAGTATGACATTCAATTGACATGGTATTCATCAATGAATCTGTACTTGACTGTGGAGTTGTCATACCGTCGGCAGTTTTCACTTTCAACGAATCCTTCTCCTTAACTTTATCCATTTTACTCATGTGTATTGTCATAGATTTCTTGGATTGTTTTAACTGCCACCTTGTGTTCACTTCCTCTAACCGATGATTATTATTATTATTTCTTTTTGTAACAATCGATTTTTTCTGTCTACGATGTTGTCTTACCGGTGTGTTGAAGTCAGATGACGTCGAGGAGGCTGATGATGACGATGTAGGTGGTGACAGGTGTGTTTTAATAGCAGTTCTGCGTGTCAGTGCCTTTTTTGCATACAAGTCTTTTCTACCGAAGCTTTCTACAATCGAATAATTTTTTAAAACATCTCTAGCTAATTCAGTAAACTGTCTACCTAATTTATCTAGCGAATCATTTGGATTGGTTAATTTTGTCGTAGGCATATTTCGACTAGTTTGATTGTATTCGTTATTATTATTCGTTAAATAATATTTTGTGAGTGATACAGTAAACCAATTAAGCTCTTTATCATTTATTTTATAATTACTATGGCTATTACTATTATTATTATTGTTTAAATTATTATTTCTCATTCTGTTATCTTTATTTTTCATCTCATCTTTACATTCCTATGCATATTGAACAATTGAACAGTTGAATACACATTCGAATTGAAACCATTGAAAATTAGGGCGTAAATTTCAAACGAAAAAAGAAAACAAACTATTCGACTGGCTTTTTATTTTATTGTGTTTTTGTTCAAAGTATCAGCTGTAGAATTATTGAAAAATAATTAATTAAATACTTGTACTGTGTTACACCCATTTCATCGCATGAGCCTCATTTATATCCGCTAGGTTACTTTGATGTTGAAGGCACCCACAGCAAGAATTAAATGCCTCTTTTATCTCTATGTATATCATTCATTATCCTAGCTAGCTAGAAGTATGATTGGTTTAATTGGATTAGCCAATCAGATTAACGCACACCTTTTAAACTAGAATAAACAGGGTCAAATGGATGGACAATGAGTCTTCTAATAATTCCCTAAAGAAACACAAAATAGAAAAAAAACATTAATTAATTGTTGTCGTTGTTGTTTCTTTTTTATCCCCCAATAAGGTGGTGGGTGTGTCGATGTACTTTTTCCCTCATTCTGAACAAAAAAATTATAATATAATTGTTGCTATTGCTGTTTTGATTGACAACCTATCAGGAAGGAATTATTGTGTTGTCACGCCTATTTTTTTTGGTTGTTGTTTAAAACAAGAGACAAGGGAATTACCGGTTGCTGTTTGTTTTATCTATCTTTCTTTCTTTTGCATTTATATGCAAATTAAGGGTGTGAAGACAAAATGAAGGAAAGAAAGAAAATGGGGGTGGGGTGAATGGTACAGTGTTCGTTGTTTGTTTATATTTTCGACTTTGTTACCCCCTCTCTTTAATTATTCACTGTTGTGACAACAGTTACGACATCTGGGGAAACAACATGAAAGTAAACGGTGACAATAATAATAATAACAATAATAATCATGATATTTTTTCTACCCTGGAACCTTTTTCAGTCACATGATTGATGAATGGAAGAAATGTATTCCTTGTTAAATACGTTTCTTTGAAACAGAGGTCCATGGAAAACAGTATGTTTCTGGTATATTTCAACCGTAGAAATCCTTGTAGAGGCAAGAGGGCTATAAGTTCAAAAGAAGTGAATTCCATTGGGCCCATTAGGTGTTTTAGTTTTCTGTATAATTCTTTGCCTCCAAAGCCTCAGGATGGTCGGGGGTGGGTGTCTTGCGCTGCGGGTTAGCCACCCCTCCGTACACCTCTTGAAATGCTCCCATATGACCGTGTGTCTTACATAGCCTCTCCTGAGGAAGTCCTACTCACTGCCTTCACGTGGCGGAAGTGTTTATTTCACCGAAGTGAGAGGGCAAAAGCGGATGCCCGGCGCTCTTCACCGGGTTGACTGTCCGTTGGATGACAGTCTAGGGGAGATGGCTAAACCCTGATTCCAAACCTTCAACGACTGGCGTATGAAGCTCACCGGGTTTATCGGCAGACATATGGACAAAGGGCTTATTGGATGCCCTGGATGACTGGCCCCATTCAAAAAGGCGTATGAACCGGACTCCGGTCACCGGCTCCCAATGGATAGTGGACTTCCTACTCCACTCCTACTGCCTTGTAGGTCACACTTGGTTGTGTAAAGGCTAGAGCTGTACTCTCAAACAAAGGCCGAGCGATTCTGGGGACATCACTCGTACCCGATTCCCATGAAACTTCATTAACTCTCCTACAAACATTCGAGATGTTCATGAAGCCGGTTCATCCTCCCGTAGGAGATAGCCGAAGTTAATCAATCAATAATAATTCTTTGGATAAATTATATGTTGGAGTTCCTGGGAGTGATACAATCGGTCGTAACGGGATATTTGCCTTTGTGTATTTTGGGTCTGCTGTAGAATCGGGGTTGGACTGGTCCATTGGATTTCGTTCGCTATTGGTCTTGTTTTGTGATCTGTCCAGTTTTGGTGAGCTTGTTTAAGATCCTTTGGATGCGGTTATCCAATGTTTCTATGGGATTTGTTGGGAGTTGTTGATATACATCCTCATCTTTGAGTAGTTCTTCAGCTTTCTTGGTATATTCTTCTCTGTCCATGACTACTGTTGCTCTTCCTTTGTCGGCTGGTAGAATCACGATGTCCTTCCTATTTTTTTTTAGCTTTTTGAGGGCCTTTAGTTCTTGAGAGTTGAGTTGTGTGTTGTCTTTTCTGTTTGACCATTGGTACAATTGTTTGGCGTATCTCTTCCTGTGTGTTTCCTCGTTCAAGTTTGATGATTTGAGTAATGATTCAAGGGCAACGAAGAAATCACTCTTCGAAGCATCTCCAGTGTTGTAGTTTAATCCTTTTTGTAGTAGTTGTTGTTCCATTTTTGTTAGTGGTTGTATTGATAGGTTGACTACCCAGTCCATAGGCGTATTTTCTGATTGTTGTTTTCTAATCTTAGCTAGCTTGATTTTGAGGACTCTCCGTCTTTGTTCTCTGTCTTTTCCACTTGACAGTGTAATTGCAGTGATCAGTGTTGACAGGTGTTCATGGTTGAGGGTTTTCTCTAATTTTACTTTTTGGACATCTATTATTTGTTGATATTTGTTGATCCGATAATGTACGTCTGTAATCATTAATTAATTTGACCATTCGTCTTCCACACTGTTCGGCCAATTTCCATCCCATTGGGCCCAATGGGATAATAATTGAGCAAAGAATATCCCCTTTTCGATATTTTCCTCTACAGGCTCTACAATTATATACGTATATTTATATACATAGAATATTCAAGAATAGTAGTCAATAACAATATTGGTGTTTTTTAAGAATAATATCGACTTGTTAAGTAAGATCACAGTGGAATTACCACAGTTCATTAAAGATGCTTAAATTGGAATAATAATAATAAAAATATAATAGTAAATAGAACATCAACTAAAACAAGGAAAATTCTACGAAAATTCAGGATCTTTCAAACCTAGATGGTCAAGTTAATGATAATGTCTGAACTAACTTCGTCTTTTGGATACATAAGTTAGGCTTGTTAATATGCATCCCCACAGCCAGCCTCAGCAATATTTAGTAATCGATTTCTTAAGGCAAAATTGAGATTCGTAGGTATGCGATAGATGACTCTGAAAGCTGCCTCGTTGACATCAGTCTTGTGTTGTGTATCCACAAGATGAGACAGAATAGCTCTACAAATGGATTTTGTCTTTCCTTCGCTTAACTACACAAGATGATGATGTTAGGAAATCAGATGAGAAACACGCCTAATTGTACAGCCTATGTAACTGGCTCATTCCACAGGAGTTAAACTGGTAGATACACAAAGAAGAGGCGAAATTAGGCAGTTTATCTTTTACTCTTGAACGCAAAATAGGTATGGGTGGTTTTGAAGACACAGTGTAAATCGGCACCAGGGAATGCTATTTTTGCCGCATTTCTAAGGTGCTGTGTTAGTATCTCGCTGATGTTGTCACTGAGGAACTGAATTTTTAAGAACAAAGCCTTTTTAGGTTCTACAGTTATATATCGATCCATAGTAATGAAGGAATTATTGTTATTAACCATACTAATGTTGTTTTAAATAACATCGAATCAATAATAAAATGAATGGATTACAGTTCACTGGCATTTGTGTACGTTTTTGATTGAATACTAGTCAGTAACCAGTGTAATGTGTGTCTAGTCTTTGGTGTTTGGTGAAGATTGAATTCTATCAGTCATTCAAGTTTATAGTGTGGCCACCACGAACTAGGTGGCTCACTATCCTGATACACTGTGAACTGTTAATATTACATGATTGGAGGCAGTCGGCAGGAAGACTTGGAACTAGGCTTCGTGCTAATTGGCACTCACCAGTCAGCAAGGCGTATCTGCAATCTTGAAGGAACAACTCATTTCCCTTCTAAGACTTGAACCTATATATATATATACGATTGTACAGCCTGATAATAAATTCGTCCACTGAATTGCTTTCTTTGGTTTTCCATATGAAGAATTTTAAGCCATATCCCCAGTACTCTCCAGCCATTGATAGTTAGTGTTTTGAGGACCTCAGTCAGAGAGTCTGCATCTTCTCATGTGGCCCACCTAAAATGATAATCAAGGCCTTAATTGGATTAATGTCAGGTTTTAATTAGACAATTCTTAACTATTTTCCCAATTAATCCCATGTCAGATAAAATTTCTGGTCTATGAGGGAGCTGACTTGTTGTGGGCAACGCATGTTTCAGCCAACCAAATCTATTTGGCTCCAAAACTTCATCGATTGATTTCCAACGAGGAATTTTCCGTGAAAGCTAAGTCGTAGATGGCAATGTATTCCAGTATATGAGCTGACTTTTCCTGAGATAATTAATATTATTGTTTCTTATATTTCCTAGAGGTACATAGGGCTTCAGCTGAACGTCTCCTGTGCGTTCAGTTCTCCGCCAGCGTTTTCACCTGGCTCCACGTCTGCCGCCCACATGCCTTCTTCTCCTCCTCCTCACATGACCTCCTCCATGTGACCCTCACACTGACGATCAACTGGCGTGTGATATCACTTGATGGTTTTTTTCAGAGTATGGCGAATCCAACTCTGTTTCTTCCTGCAGATTTGTTGCATATAATTGGTTCCTGTTTAGGTTGGTTCACTCCTATAGATCCCTCCCTGTTGCTGATCTTTTCTGACCGGCCATCTGATCTTGAGTAGTATTGAATGAAGACAACTGTTGATGAAGGTGTGTAGTTTGTTCGAAGTGGTCTTCATGACGCACCAAGTGTCTGATCCGTGTAGTAGGTAGCACTGACTGACTTCACATTGGAGTTGAAAATCCGGATCTTATTCTCATTTTCATGTTGAGTGCTGTTGACCTCCACACAGACTTGAGAGAAATGATAGCTGTCTTTGCTTTCCCCATCCTCACTGCTTTGATATCCTCATCACTTCCGTCCGCCTGTAGTTGAAACGATGCTTCCTAGGTAGGTAAGTAAAGGGGGTTGCTTCTTTCAGATTTCTCCCATTTATGCTTGCTGATCGTTGTCTGCTGTTGTTGTTGTTGCTGTTGCTGTTTGCGAGGAATCCCCATCACCTCTGTTTTCTCTATGTTTACCTGAAGTTCTATCTTTTCTGGATGCATCTTCTGCCAACTTGTTGCCTTTTATTTACATATCTTCCAGTTTGGGGGAAATCAGACGCATACGTCATTGGCGAAGTTCAGATCCTCCAAGTATTTTGTGTGGGTCCATTTTGTGCCTGCCCCCTCGTTGCTCGACCTGCTGCCTATCGTATGATGCAGTCTACTACAATCAGGAAAATCATTGGAGATAGTAGTCAGTCAGCCAG